CCAAAAAAAAATTTAATTTTTAAAAAAAAATATATTTTCAACTTCAAAATTTTATTTTTTCACCCCAATCCTCGACCCCCCCTAAAAAATTAAGTTTGTTTTTAAAAAATATTTCAACTTCAAAATTCCCAAAAAAAAATTAAGTTTGTTTTTAAAAAATATTTCAACTTCAAAATTCCCAAAAAAAAATTAAGTTTGTTTTTAAAAACTATTTTCAATTTCAAAAATTATTTTCTACTCTAGTAAAAATAAAAGATATTTCTCAAAAATATTTTTCATTCATAAATCAAACACTAAAAATCTTTTTCGGAAAATATTTTTTACTCACCAACCAAACATGAGAAAATAAGTCAAAAATCAACTTGTTTTCCAGGAAAATATTTTCCATGGAAAACATTTTCCTTCATACCAAACACACCCTAAGAGGCAAAGATAAAACGAAGAAACAAAAGCAAGAAGCACCGCATTAACACTTGGAAGAAACAAAATACCAAGTAGAATACAAATAAATTATGCATTTATTGTTACTATTTATTAAATTTTTCTTAAAAGTTTGTTGCTAATCTCTTTGTGAAATTTTATTATTGATGTAATTATAATTAAAAATAGTAGACAACAAAATTTACAATTACTTTTTATTTCTCAATTTATCTAATTCACTTTAATTTGAATTAACTATGTTTTAATATTGGCTTTGTAAGATCATCTTCAATTCTTTGAGATGTTTTACTAAACATTTCAAGCTTAAACTAATTAAATTAACAAATAATTAAATTTTAAAAAATATTGCCTTAACTTTGGATGTCTTCTAAAGGTAATAATCACTATAATATTGATTTTTCTAATTAAAAGTATTACGAAATATTATATAAGTAAAAAAAAAAATGATACTCTAATAGGCATATTCAATAAAGTGAAATCTTAATTTTATTTGAAAACACTTTTAGAATAATTTTGATAGTTTATGTAACAATTGATTCTATTGAAAAAGTTTTCAAAATTATAATCAATAAAAAGAGATTTAAACATTTGTAGTGTTGTATAACGTACATATATTTATTCTTTTCTAACAAATATTGCAAGAAATGTTATATTGTTAATTGAAAAAGAAGAAATAATTATTAAATTATAACCCATTACAAAAAAAAATTGGCATTTATGAGAATAAAATATAAAAAAAAAATTCAAAAAAATATAACTCCATTTTCTAAATGAACAGGCTTTAAGTCACACATTTTAAAAAATTCAAATAAATATAAGGGTAGTATTTAAAACAAATTTTATCTCCCATTACTTTTACTTTTTCACTATTCTAAATATAGATTTTCACTTTTACTTGATCACGATTTCAAAGTCGGATCTCAAGTCGGGAGTCGAGAGTTGGGGTTGGGCCTCGATAGAATGTCAGGGTCAAGTTCTTCTTTTAAAGTCGGGTCCCGCATCGAGTGTCAGGGTCAGGTCCTGGTTCAAAAGCCCGGTCACAGTTTGGATCTCAGGTCCCGGGTTTGGGTGTCGGGTTGGATCCCATGTCGGGTGTTGGGGTTGTGTCCCGGCTCAGGTGTCAAGGTCGGGGTGAGAGTCGAGTCCCTATTCGAATATGAGTCCAAGAGTCGGCGTTAACTCCAATGTCGGGTCGGATTCCGAATAGTTCATCCAGGTTCTGTCTCGGTTCAAGTGTCAGGGTTGGATTTTGAATCGATTATCGGGGTTAATTTTTCGGGTCAAATATTATTTTCCTGAAAATATTTTCTACTCTCTAGCCAAAAAAAAATATTTTTTCTGAAAAATGGTTTTTATTCCAACCAAATATTTTTTTTAAATCCACTCATCACCCAAATATGAGATAAGTTAGAAAGCAACTTGTTTTTCAAGAAAATATTTTCTAGAAAAAGATTTTATTTGTATCATACTTTTATCATCACTCTTTTCATTTATAAAAAAGAGAGCACATTTTTCTTTAACTAAAGAGAGAGTTAGTAAATGATTAAATAAATTTAATATGGATATAATACATAATTTTTTAAGGGGCGGGCAAATCAAAAATATTAAATTAACACAGGAATGAGTACTATGTAAAGTGAGCATTACTAATAACTTTTGAGTTCTTTAATAACTGACTAATTGAGCAGTTATTTTGGGATATTTGTTTTGGGGTAAAACAACACTTAAAAATGGAACAGAGAAAGTAACATTTTTAATGCAGATCTTATCCATCCTAGAAATACGATTGTTCGGTAGAGCGTATTAAAAAGAAAAGTCATGTATTAACTTTTTGCATTACTTATATCTAATTTGGTACACTTTTTCAATCAATGTTTGCACTTTATTTGATACTAACATATGTATAACTAATACTGGAAAATTCATGGTATTAAAAATGCAAGAGGTTTATGCATAAATTATCATAATTAAATACACAATCTTATTCTCAAAACATTTTCAACATCCTTTGATCATATTAGAATATTCGTAAATAAATAATCTTTTTTAAAATTATACAATGTACGTTATTTTTAATACGTCAAGTCAAACAATACATAAGAAATAATCTTTGAATTACATTATTAATATATAATATTCTTATACACGCTAACAAACGCGTATTGTTATTTCATCTTTTCTCGAATCTCCCATAACGAAAAAAAATATGATCTATAGATTGTATTTTTTTAATTTAGTTTTTTAGCATGAATTGAGTTTGTAGAGAGCGAGTCCCAAGGGCTTCAATCAAAATCCGTTAGACAAGAAATATAATTCCACGTGCAGACATACTTCTATAAATACAATATAATTTTCACTCAAAAACTTCTCTAAAGGTGGCACAAGTCCAATCATTAATCAACAAAAAACAATACTTTTACATTGTAGATTCTTTTCCCCTTTCCATTTTTCATATTTAGTTCATCATTTCATATATTGTGACACTTGAGTTGTTGATCCATTTTTCATATTTAGTTCATCATTTCATACATTGTGACACTTGGAGTTGTTGATTCTCACAAAATCTTTAAGATCAAATTCCAATACCAAGTATGAGAATTTGATCATCAATCTTTTTATTTTCTGTCGTTTAAACATTAGGTCAATATTGGAAGAAAAAAAAAAGTTAAATGGATCCTGTATGTGATTTGTGTAGTGAAGCGAGGGCAGTGGTGTATTGTAAATCAGATTCAGCGAGGCTTTGCTTGCAATGTGATGACTATGTGCACTCACCAAATCTTATATCACGAAGACATTCTCGTTCTTTCATATGTGACAAATGCAATTCACAACCATCAGTTGTGAGATGCATGGATGAGGCAATAAGCTTATGTGAACGCTGTGATTGGGATGGAAATGGCTGCATCGGGACAGGGCATCGACTCAAGAAGTTGAATCCTTACACTGGATGTCCCTCTCCTGATGAGTTTACAAAGATGTTGTCACAAGTTCTTGAAATGCCTATTGGTACTGACACTAATTTTGGAAGCTTTGGTAATTCTTTTTGTAGCTCGTTGAGTATTAATGAGAATAATAGCAGTTTGGAGACTAAAGTGAATGAAGGTTCATTTGTTCCTAGTAAGCTAAATGAGTTAGCTTCTAATTATAAGTTTGAAGCAGCGTGGGCAATTCCTCTCGAACCAAATTACCTGACTTCCTATCACCCAGATCTGACACCCTTCTCAGAGGGATCTGCCCTTTCTAAGGTTATATTACTCTTAGATTTTCTACTATTTCCTTTTTTGTTTGTTTGCATTGTTTTGATATCCGTCACATGTGTGAACTGTTCTAAGAAATGACGTCATAATTTAGAGGTGAATTCAGGATTTAGACTCAGTGAGTCTTGGTGTTGAATATGTTGTATGCACTAATAGTACTTTGTTTGTTTACTTCAAATGCAGAAAGATTGTCCGATTAAGGATCTTGGATTACAGGAAGGTGATGTTCTCTCAAAAGGTGTTGATTTTGATGACGTGACATTGGATTTCAACTGTGGTTATGAGATTTTGCCCAATTCACTACCGACTGGATTCTCTGATGAAAACAAGGAATTAGATTGCCTAGTCATGGAGAAAAATTCATCTGTCACAGGATCTAATAATGTGGAAACATCTCACGAGGTTTGTGTTACTGCTTTCTTAATTTACTCTCTTACGTTCCCCATAAATCGAGTTTTAAAGACAGTCTACCAAATGCAGAGGAACCAGATTCTACTGTTGACACAACTAAGGCAACTTGTTAATAGCTTTTTGTTTTGGTGGCTTGTTTTAATTTGTAAATATCTGTTACTTACTATACATGTGCCTTTTTGTGTTTGTTTTTTTTTGGAGTAGCTTTAGTTATTCCATTTGTACTTTTTGTTAGGCAACATCTTCAGTGCAGCAAGAGTATATGGGGTTGCAGTCCTCACAAATGTCTGCAGCTGCGAGTTCAACGAATCTATTGCAGACAATGAGTGCCAATGCTAATTGCATGCTTATGAATTCCAATTGCAACGGAAGCATTGGCGCCTTACCCTTTCTACCTGCACCAATTCATCCAAGCATGTCATTATCACTCTCCAACATCACTGGAGAAAGTTGTGCAGAACAAGATTGTGGATTGTCACCGGGGTTTCTGAATGAAGCACCATGGGATTTGAGTTTGGAAAATTGTCCACAGAAAAGGCATGAAGCCAAGATGAGATATAACGAGAAAAAGAAAACAAGAACGTAAGTTGATCCATAGTCATCCTACATTTGATCTGTCATAGCTTGTTTATTGTTGCTGTTATATTCATTCCATTGTCTCATTAAAATTTGTTACCGTGAGTTAAAGTCCTACATTGGTTGGGGAATGAACCGGTGATTTTCTTATATGGACTTGAACAATTCTCCCTCACGAGTGTTGAATTAGAAACAGGTGTCATATCTCTACAGTATTGCAACATTGTTCTGAGAAGTATCTATGTTCAAATAGGGAAACTTTGATCTTTTGCAACTCTTGCATTTAGAGTCCCTATTAATGTCATTTATTTTTCTTCATTTTCACCTTGAGTAAACTTTTCATAGATTCTCTTTATTCCCTAGGTACAATTTTACCAAAAATTTCTATACCAATTTGCTAGTACCATTTATCTAATCTAACATTTTCAGTACGTAGATTCGTTAAGTGATTAAATAGCAACCTTTTCCCTTTATTGATATTATGCTTTGTGACATGAAGGTTTGGTAAGCAAATAAGATATGCTTCACGTAAGGCTAGGGCAGATACCAGAAGACGAGTTAAAGGTAGATTTGTTAAGGCTGGTGAAGCTTATGATTATGATCCATCTGAAACAAGAGATTTCTGAGATAAGACGGATGATTTTGGTCTCCCTTCTACTTTGTCAACACTTACCAATGTATTAAGGTACCTTACAACAACACGTGTCAAAATAATCAAATAACTTATGATGTTGTTTCTACATCTCTATTTGGCTTAGCTATGATGACAATTAGGCTCAATGAGTTGAACTAACTTTCTGATTAACCTGTAAACTGCTAAGGTAGGAGGCCTGAGAAGACCTTGTAGTTGCTTGGAAGTCATATCTAACTATATTCAACATAATGGAAAACGTGGACGACTAAATCAAAACATGCTCAAGACCTGAAACACTTTTTTTTTTGCTCGACTCTAATTATCATCCCAGGGACCTTCTAGGCTAGTTTAAATAAGCAAACTCTTGTGATCCCTTATATAATTGTGTCTTAACTTACGCTATGACATGTCACCTTTTTTGTACTTTAAACTACGCTGAAGGGGAGTAATGCATACTGATGATCGATGAAATATTTAGAGTTCTCTTTTTAAAATGACTATGGTGCTGCATCACATTAACTTGTTTACTACTTGAAATATTTCCAACTGTGCAGAATGATGATTTATGTCACGGTTTTTCTTGACGTTAGCATCTTTGTCTATCTGTATAAAGCAGGCCTTTAATGAACACTCTGAACAAGAAGAGGTTGTCATGATTTACAATGGCCTAACTGGTATTTCTACTAGACTGTTGCTTTCTCATAGGTAATTATAACAAACATGTACTCTCATTATAGTTTGCGTTTATGTTGCTGTGTTTTCTTATTCTGTTTTCGTTCTTGAAGGATCGCACAGTCAGATGATACAATTGCAAAAGGACTCTGCCTTTCCAGTGCATTCTGAAGTCAGAAAACCTCAACGTATGATCTGTTGAGGTTTTCTGACTTCAATGAAATCCATATCCGGTGCCATCTAATAAGCTTCGACATTATTAGCACTTAGATCGTTTGCTTTCACATTTTCCTTCTCATTTAATAGACGATATCTATTGAACTCGAGCTATATTCATCTCATTGAATTGGCTTTAGCAATTTTTTTAATAAGGTATTTTGAAGGACAGAAAAACAACAGGGATTTGTGGCCAAAATGGTCACCTTAATTTTCCTAAGTTTTATTACAGTTAAATATTTGTGGCACTGAGTGAGCAATCTTGGCTTCCCTTATGCTTGGATGCTCTTATGCTCACTCCGTTCCAATTTATGTGATGTCGTTTGATTAGACTCAAAGTTTAAGAAATATGAGAAAGCTTTGCAATATTCCAAAATTACCTACACCTTTATACACTTTTTGACTTTTTGCCAAATAAGTGGACCCAACATGGATAAAAATAGTGTCATTAAATATTTGTCAAATAAGAAATGTTTCCTTTTTTTTAGTTACTAAAAAGGAAAATGGTCAAATAAATTGAGTCAGAGGAAATACTATTTTATAACAATGTGCATGCATAAGAAGTTTGTATCTTACTAACAAAAGTAAACACTATAACTACTATTTGCCAAGAATAAGGACACGTTTGGCCATAGATTTCCCAAGTAAAATTTGGGGGGGAAATTTGGCAAATAGTGTTTGTTCATATAATTTGTCATTATTTGACAAATATTTTTGGCAATTAACCCAAATTCCCAAATACTATAAAAATAAAAATAAAAAACTAGTATTTGAGCTAAATCTCATTATTTGGGAGCTTTTAAAAATTCAAATTTTATACCAAACTCGTATCTTTTAAAAAAAACACCATTAATAGTTGTTGTTTGCGTTGTATTACATAATTTTTTACTGAACAACAAAACAGTGATGGAATATTCAATGAATATGAAAGTGATGATATGGTTGTTGATGAAAATGTCGAACAATCGATTCAGGGTAACAAAGTCATTAGCTTCGTCTACTTCATAATGTATGGAATGATGCTTGTTGCACTCGCTGAATTGCACGTCATTGCTTTTTCCATCGTCACTTTTGTGAAACAGACTAACATGATCGGTTAAAATTGAGGGACAATCAACCCTTTCAGTTGGTTTTCCACTTGTAATCGAATCCAGGTATACTGTATGACTTTGGACAATTCTATCATTCAACCACACATGCTCTTTTATGAAATATTTTCATTGGTTTTATTTATACTCTCCAACTGCAATTTTGCACTTCATTAATCGACTTGTCCGTCGGCTTTTTAAAAAGGAAAAAAAAAAAGAAGGGGGGGGGGGGGGGGGAC